AGAGAGAGAGCAATAGGTCAGGAGTCAGAAAATGTGGGTTCCAGCCCAGGCCTTGTCAGCAACAGGTTGTGTGTCCTTAGGTGAGTCACTTAACGTCCTGGGCCTCAGCTTTCTCGAGTGGAAACATGGAGCTTGGATAAGAGTGGTGCTTCCTGATTTTGAGTAGGGATGTTTAGACATGGCAGGACTTGCCTGGCCACCTGCAGGGTGAGCTGGCAAACATCCACATGTGATAGGCTGAGGATCCTCCAGGAAAAGAATTGCTCCCAGCGTGAGAATTCCTTCTCAACTGCGCTGTGTGGCCCTCTGGGGATCCGTGTCATCCTGCTGAGGAAAGTAAACCTACAGGAAAGATTTGGGGACATTTTAAAAGTAGTGAGCAAGCACAAATGTGTCATGGAGTAAAATGCAACATTCATACAAATTTTAAAGCTACAAAGAGGTCTTCAAGAAATTCCTTGTTTGTGGCGGGCCTCTCCCAGCTCCATCCCTGGTCCTGCTCCTTCTCTTCTCCGCCTTAAGATGCCTTGGCTGACAAGTATCCTAGGCAACAAAAGAGGCAGGCCCATCCGGCCTGAAGCAGTAACAAAGCCTCAGTCATTGGAGGGGAAGAGGGATCCGTCACTTGATCTTCCACCAGCTCCACTCTTCCGTGAATTTGTGTCTGAACAGGGGGCCAGAGGCGGCAATGGGAGAAATCACTTCTCTAGTACCTTGCATTGCACTGTGGCCCAAGCAGCTCGGCTTGGAGGTTGCTGTGACCGAGGGGACAGAGGGCTTACTCTCCCACTCTGCCACAGACCACCGTTAGCCTGGGGTCTGTCTTGTAGGGGCTCTGGTGGATGTAATGGTGAAGACTGAAGACTGACTCTGGTGTTTGTAGGAGGTGGAGGTGGGGTCTGGTTGGTGCAGTCATGCTGGGGAAGCAGGAGCAGAAGCAGCAGCCGCTGGCCGCAGGCCTCACCTGCTTTGGTACTGACCTGGTTTCTCAATGAGATGCCCTTTGGGGAGTCCCAGAAACAGAGGGAGGGTGGAGTTCATGGAAGGGGCAAAGACCTGAGTGGGCTGAGGGTGGGGGGAGCGTAGCGGAAACCTCTAATCACTTGTTTATTGTTTCACTGTTTTCTTGTACGACTTTGTTCACGCAGGCAGTTGAGATCTGGAATCTCTGGTTTCATTTGCTCCTCCTCTGTTCCCTAGGGGTTCATGGCGGTTGTAATGGATTGTTTTAAATGTTTCAAAAACTCTAATGGAAATCATAATACATCTGTTTTCTGCTTTTTGCATACCCAGTTATGGATGTGTTTGATTAATAAATCATGGGGAAATGAATTAATTATTCCTTAATGATTAGTCTCTCTGGCAGACAACATATTTCAAGACAAGGGAGATTTGGGAGAAAAATAATAAAGGAGGGTCTTGATGTTGAATAGGTTGGGAAGTAACACCAGATCAGAGGCTCCTTAAGATTCTGTCCAGCCTCCAAAACTTTCCAGGAAGGGGCTGCACAGTCTACAGCTGCCAGAGGCTGGTGGTACCAATGGTACAGCAGGAGAGATGGAGGAAACAGGGGATGTTACATCTATCACTTCCAATCTCTGCAGATTCAGGAAGTTACTAGGTCAAGAGCAAGAGGTGGTGTGTGTGAGATTCACATTAGGGAGATCCCAGTCTCTCTCTTTTGAGTCATTATGCTCAAGGCAGAAATTCAAAAACACTGGAAAAATCCAAGATCAAGAGGCAGCATCCTGCTCAAAATAATAGAACTATTCAGCCCAGTGGTTCTCAAACTATGGTGCCCATCAGAATCACTGGGAGGACTTTTAAAAACTCGGACAAATGGGCCCAACTCCCAGAGTTTCCGGTTCAGAAGGTCTGAGGTGAGGCAGAGAATTTGTATGTAGAACACGGTCCTGAGTGATGCCGCTGCTGCTGGTCCAGGGACCACACTCTGAGGATCATTCTTTTTCCCCATTTGCTCCTGTCTCAGTTTCTCTCTTCCATGGCTTCTCCATCTCCCTTCCCCATCCCAGCCTTCCCTCCCACCGTCTCACTCCCTCGATGCCTTCCACCCTTTTTCCCCGTGGACTCTTCTCCTGCCTCCTCCCTCTTTTTCATACACCAGCTCCAGCAGCCTCCCACACCTGACTTTCCTCCTCAACCATGGGAAAATTGATTTTCTTGAAAACCAAAATGCAGACGAGACAGGAGGAAAAACCAGTCCATCACCCTAGCCAGCAAGGGACACTAGATGCAGGTGATTTGGGACAGTATGGGTTGGCCAGGACATGAGGTTCCTCACAGCTGATAAAGCCACCTGGGGCTGGTACTGCCTGGCCAGGACTCCATGTGACAGTGGACAAGGTTTACTTCCCTGTGCCCAGGGAGATGGTGGGGAAGACGGGGTGACCGGAGGGAAGCCTCCAAGCACAAGTGCAGCATCCAAGACCCTTTCTAGTACAAGTTCCAAGACTTGAGCATGCATGCATCAGAACCCCCGAAGAGTCTGGTCAACACGATTGCTTGGCCCCACCCCCAGAGCCTCTTATTTTGCAGGTCCGGGATAGGATCCCCCAGAACCAAGGTGGGCAAATTGGGATGAGTTGGTCATCCAACCAAGGCCAGAGACTTTACCCTTCTGAGCAGTTCCCAGGTGAAGCTGACACTGCTGGGTCCAGAACTTCACTCTGAGAATCGCTGCTTCATTGTTCCCCGGCAACTACAGAGGCCCAGAGCTGGCCATCGTCGTCTGGACTCTTCAGAATGAGAGGCTCTGGGCAGGGGCCAGAATTCAGACCCCAGAGAGCTGCAGTCAGGGAGGTGGATGTGGACTTGGGAACTTTGGCTGTGGAGTCCCAGATTGACGGGGGTGAGGAGGGTTGGTTGGACAATTGGGGTTGGGGTGAGAGGACATCCGAGCTGAGGCTGTGTGTGTTGGGGGCATGCCCCAGTGAGCAGAATCCAGACAGCCTCACCCTGCTCACTGTGGGCTGGGCCTGTGGCTTGGGCTGAAGTGGGCGAAGAAGAAAATGGCTGCTTAGTGGCGGGAGGCTAATATGGGGAAGGAGAAGCAGGCAGGGAAAGATGTGGAAATGCTTAGGGAGTGCCTGTATTTGGAAGCAGAGTCTAAGTTGTTGACCTATAAAATATAGAGTCTGTTAATTATTTCTTTGCATGCTGACTCGGGGAGTTTTGGGGCACAGAGCCCAGCACAGTGGGGGGCATTGCAGAGATGGAACCGGGGCTTGGGGATCTACACCTCACCTCCCCTGCCCTCTCCTGAAGGTTAGCAACCTCAAATGCTAAAGGATCTCCCAGTAGGGGCCGTCTTTGGGATCCAGGAAGAGGAAGGCCAGGGGTGAATATCTGTTGAATAAGGGAATGCAGGAAGGAATGAGAATGTGTGACTGCTCTGAAGTCAGAGACAACTAGACCGGACCTTCTGTGGATAGTCCTTGGATGCATACACCGTACTTTCTCACCCAGTGAAACCTTGGCATTCCCAGGCTGGTATGCAGTTTCTAGCAGTCTGGACCTTTCATCCAAACATCTTTCACAAGGAGTGATTTACTGCTATCCACATTTTCCTGGCTGGCCCCTCTCTCCCTGTGTGCCTACCCTGCCAAGAAACTTCCAGGAGTCTTGGAAGAGACAATTCAGCTCATAAACACATTTAGTCAACTATTAGAACTGACTGTCTCACTTTTCTGCCAGACATCATCGCGTCTACCAGGAACTAACACAACTAACAGAGCCCGGGTCTATGCTGGATGCTCCGGAGTGATAAGATGTGGACCCCAGTACCACATACAGTTTTTTCTAAAAAAATGCTCAGTCCTCCTTCAGCCCTTCTTCCCTGAGAACAAACAGGAGTTGTTGTAAGATGAAGTCAAGTGAGCATACCTGTGTCCTTGCTGTTACCGGGCCAGTCTTGTCTGCCTGACTGTTTTTCCATAGGGTTGGTTTTTACCCAGAAGGCTCTTTGGTCCCTCATGCAAATACATTTCTGAGCTGGCCTCAACAGTGGTGGACTCAGCTTGTGATCCACTTCCTCCACACACTGTAATTTCACCGAGAGATGAGTTGAATCTGAGGGGCCTCAAGGCTACTGATTGAGGGTGGGCTGCAGAACCAGGGTGCACCTACCCTAGGAAGCCCGTCTGCCAGGGGCTTTGTGGGCCCCTGTTGGTCCTTCATGCGGTAAACCTTGCAGATGAAGTTTGTGAAGCGTGGACTTGATTACGAGCGGCAGACTTGACTTTAAATAGCTTTGTAAATGACAGCGCCTGTAGTCCTGGAATCATTAGGTATCTGAGGGGATGACCTAAACTTTACAGCTCTACACTTTGATTTCTACAAAGGAGAAACAATACGCTCTAATGTATTGAAACGGCAGTTGGCCATTGGAGATTGAGTAGCTAGGAGCTAAAGTTCTTTTTTCCTTTTTGCGATTACTGATTATGGCTTTTAGCTGTTTAACCCACCCATTGTTAACTGGCTCTTTACGCAATACGCTATCCGACTCTGCTGGGTTCCTATAGATAACATCTCCCTGGAGCCTGGGTCACCATGGTAATGGGTGTGTGAGCTGTTTTCCAGGAATTAGAACCCTTTGTCCACTTCATGCCAGTTGAGACCACCAACTCATCAACCAGGTGGCGCAGATGTCCGATAGGTGACCTTTTGACATCAAGAGGCTAAAAACTCCACCCTCAGATCATACTAACATCGCCATTTTGTGAGCATGCATCCTATGAAGAGCCATGATGTCTGACTACACTTGCAGAGATCATCAATTACCTCACCTCTGCTCACCTCCAATCACCTCTCTCCACATTTCAAACCACCTTGCCCCCTATCCCATAAATATCCCTGAGTCCCTATTTTCGGGGAAGTAGATTTGAGACTTGTTTTCCTGTTTCCTCATTTGGCTGCCCTGTGATTAAACCCTTTCTCTGCTGCAATCTCATCTCAGTGTTTGGCTTTCCGGGTGACGGGCAAAAACAAACCTGGTATGCTAACAGTATTTGCCCATGTGGGAGTCTCAGAAGGCCAATGCTGAACCACATTTGATCCTTGTGATTGTGATGTTGTTATTATTATCCCCTCATAGCTGAGGATCACTTGCAAGGTCACTCAGCCTGTAAGTGGCAGAGTCGACTGAGTTCAAGTCACTGAAAAAGGCCAATGGCCCCACATGGAACAGATAGGAGGAGGGGCCACAGAGATGGCCCTGGAGAGCGGTAGGAGGCTCCCAATGCCCAACCCCTTGGGAGAACTTTCTGGGAAGACGAGCCCAGATCAGACCTACTCTGGCTCCGTGTGGCCCTGCCTGGTGGAAACCTGGCTTCTCCTGTTTTCTCCTCCCTCTCCACCCTGCCTTGCCTTGCATGATGGGCACTCGTGTGCTCATGGCTCTGGCATCTGCAGTGATGCAGAGCAGTGTGGAGGCCTGGTCAGGACTGCGTTCCCCTGCACGTGGCACAGCTAAGTTGAGGCCTGAGGCGTGGCAGTTCATAACTCATCTGCAGCATGAGCGTGCCTCACCCGCCTTGGCTGCCGTCCTGCTTGCTGGCTCCCTCACTCTGCCCAAGGTTCAGCAGGGCTTGGGAGAAACCAGTCAGCAGTTTACTGAGGGGAAAGGACTTGACTGGCAGCCTGGAGGCCTGGGCTCTAGGCCTGGATCTGCTGCTTTTCAGCAGCTTAAACTTGGGAGGTTCACTTCACCTTCCGGCTTCAGTTTCTCCATCTCTGAAACGATGAGGTTTCTCGAGATCCTCACTCTTTAAAGTGTCATGAGGGCCAGCAGTGATGGTATTGCCTGGGAGCTTGTTAGAAATGCGGAGTCTCAGGCCCGTCCCCAGACTACTGAATCAGAATCTGCACTTAACAGGATCCCCAGGTGACCTGCATACAATTTGAGAAGTGCTGCTCTCAAGATTAAGTTTGGTGCTTGCAGCCTCCAATACTGTGCCATAAGGCATTCCCTTGAGCACTGTCCTGGCAGATAGTCAGTTGCAGACCAAGTTTAGCCCCAGAAGGATTGCCCTTGCTTTCCACATGCATTGCCTATGTGTGCCTTCTCAGTTCTAGCTCTTAACTGGGGTTCCCAGATGGTTGATGATAGGTTCCGGGAAGCCCTTCTATGTGGTCCTCCCCTTTCTTCCAAGGGGCTAATGCGAAGGCCAGTAGGTGATCAGCTGAATTGAATACAATTATCCTTCTATTATCACTGATACACTCTACACTCATTCTTCAAAGCTGTGGTCAGATTCCCGGCCTGCAGAAACATGCCCTTTAATTTGGGAGATGATTCAGGAGTGCACCACATGGAGAACCATCACATGTGCATTTAACTTGCACATTAACAGCCAGACGGAGGAGAGAGGAAGAAGTAAGTAATGTGGGAAATTCCCTGGCGTGAGTGTGATGCGGGAGGTTGGGATCTACGGCTGCTCAGCCAATCTCAGTTCCTTCAGCCTCTCTCAGACACGAACGTATGCTCTGGGCTGAGTGTGATCCTAGTTTTTCAAGATTTGCATATTTTGAACAATGTGGCTGCCAACTGTTGAAAGCCAACTATTGCATTTTGTTCCCAACCAAAGAAAGGGAAACCTGTTCCATTTCTAGAATAAAAAAACCAACTGTGTTGGTCTCATGAAGAGAAGTTATGTGGCCTCCAACACAGTGTCTTCCTAAGGAACTGTTCAGAGTGATTTTGATTACAGGTCACTTTTCCTTCTATACTAACATTACAGCTTCAGGTAAGAGGAAATGCTTCCTTACTGTATGTAGTCAGGTCAGGCATACAAAGAAATTTCCAATTGGGAAAATCAATAGCATTACAAATGTTCAGGGAAGGTTCTGAGTAGGAGAGGAATCTGTCTTCGTAGTGCCTTATCTAGAATGTTCTTTCATGATATCTCTTCAGGTTTCTGAGTCCAGCCTAGTTCTGAGAAGCCAGGCTTGTGGCTGAGCACACAGCTTCCAGAAGATTCCACGGTATCGGGATAACCCATGTACTATCTTCCTCACACTAGGTTCCATGTGTTCCTGAGGTGCTGTACCAAATGTAGACTTCCAGGATTTGCACAGAGGAAGGTTGAACTAATGGGAAGAGGATACTCTAAAACTGGAAGTTTGAGAATTGTTACGAGACCATGCAGACTCATAAAAAGGTCATGTTAAAACAAAAGGCCAAATCTATTCCTTTATTTAGGTAACTACCTCTTACCATAAAAGATCTGAGGTGGCTTGTAAGAAACACATACACTTTTGGGGTGAAATATAAATAAAAAGTACAAAATTAGTCCAGGGGAAATATAAATTAGTGGAGCAGGTCAAGCACAACTGACGGGCATGAACACATCTGATTAGCCTATGGAGGTTGACCCTCAGTTGCACCAGCTGACCTGCATTTGACTGGATGCAATTGAATGAAGGTAAAAATGGAGTCCTGCTCATAGAATCAAGAAATGAATGACACGAGGACAGCACAGCAGAGGCCTAGCTTGCTTGTCAGAAAATGCCCAGAGGGCTTCAGTTGACTAAAAGCTCAATATGAGCCACCCACGTGGCCTGGCTGTGCAAGCGAGTGGGGCTGCACTAGCAGCATGCAGTGCCCAGCCCCGAGGAGGAGGCCTCTTGCACACAGCATTAGCTGTGCATTTGCTTTTGCACCCAACATGTTGAAATATGCTGCCATGTGCCACTTGGATAGTACCAAGAGGCGGATGAGGTGGAGCCCCTAGGGGCTCACACAGTCTTCCAAAGAGCCGAGGAGCAGAAGTAGCAGCAGTGCAGTGTGGCATGTGCTCGCGGGAGATCCCATTTGCACTTTTGTGCTTGGTTCCCGTTGTTAATATGGAGCAGAGGAGCAGCAGTGGACGTAACTTCTCTCTTGGTGTCTAAGCCCATAGCAGGTTTGCTGCCGTAAAAGCCCAACTGTGAGAACTTTAAGGCTTCTCGGGGCCTCACAAATAGCTGGGGCACTGGCAGTGGCATCAGTGGCCTGGTGCAGGGATGCTGGACTCTTGATGGAGCCTGGAACTTGCTGGAAGCCTGGCATCGAGGCCATTCATAGGCATCCTAGTGGTTGCTTTGAAAGCCTCGATCTCACAGCCTCTGGTCCCTCTTGGATACTGTTAAAGGATGTGCTGTGAAGAGAGCATCTTCTTCCTGTGATGCTTCTCCATCGGGTGGAACCTGTGTTCAACAAACGAAGACAAAATGGATTGGCCCAAGACTTGAATATGTGATTTCAAGTCTGTGTGTGGTGAACCAGGCATAGTTCTTGGACTCAACCGGAGTTAGGTTTGAATTCTAGTGCTGCTGCTCAATCTCACCATTACCATGGGCTAGTCATGAAACCACTTTGAGACTCAGTTTCCTCACCTGTAAAATGGGGGTTTGAATCCCTAACTCAGAGTTGTGAGCATTGAATAAGGTAATGAAAATAAGTGATTGGCCCAATAAACATCAAGGCGCTCATCAAATCTTAATTCCCTCTCCCTACCCTTCCTTATGGGCAAAACTAATACCTCTCTCCGGGCTCTGGATTCCAACCCCCACCTCCACCTTGGACATGGCCAGACATCCGTCTTCATTTGTAACTTCAACATCCTCTTCTCCTCTCTGCTGGTTTCCCCTCCTCCTCTTACCATCCTGCTCAATTTTCTGTATCCTCTCCTCTGAAAAAATCATACTTACCATACTTGCCATCATAGCCTTACCCCAATCATTTATCACCAAATATTTTGAAGACTAATCTGCACTCACTCCTTTGCACAGCTTAGCAACCACTCTGTAAATAGCACTTATCTGATTTTTGCCCCCACCATTTACTGATAAAGGCTCATTGCTCATCCCTTATCTGTAAAAGGAGAATAATTCTTTCCTCACAGCGTTGCTGTTGGGATGAAATGCGATAATATGCAGGGCCTCTTTCAGTGAGTCTCAGGGTTCCTTCCTTCTAGTCACCACTTTCTCACTCCATTTCTTCCCTTTTCTCTCTACCTTCTCACTCTCCACAGTTTCATCCATAGTCATGTCTCCACCTGCATCCATCACCATGCCTGATCTCCCTTCTGAGTTTCGAATCTGCACATTCAACACCAGTTGAGTAGTTCGCCTCAGATACAGGTGGTCCCCAAGTTACGGCGGTTTGACCTATGATTTTTTGACTTTACGACAGTGTGAAAGCGATACCCATTCCGTGGAAGCCGGCCTGCGAATTTTAAATGTTGTTCTTTTCCCGGGCTAGCCATCTGCAGCACAATCCTCTCTGTGGTGCTGGTCAGGGGCAGCGAGCTGCACCTCCAGTGAGCCCCATGACCACAAGGGTGAACAGCTGGCACCCTTAGAGCCACTCTGTACCTGGACAGCCATCCTATTTTCACTTTCGGGACAGTATTCAATGAATGATGTGAGATGTTCGACACTGTATTATAAGATAGGCTCTGTGTGAGATGACTTTGCCCAGCTGGGGGCTAATGTAGGTGTGCTGAGCACGTTGAAGGTGGGCTAGACTATGTTTGGTAGGTGACCTGTATTAAATGCATTTTTGACTTACGATGGGTTTATCGGGAAGTAACCCCACCGTAAGTTGAGGAATATCTGCATGCTGTTGGGATCTCAAACTCTGCATGTTCAAAGGAAAGCACATGATTTTAACCAATCCCGCGCCTTCTGACTTTCCTCATTCCATGGATGGCAATGCTTTCTGAAGCCTTTGATACTGTCATGCCCCCGCAGGAGACCAGGATGGGGATGGGGGTGTGTGTGTGGGGGGGTGTCTACTAGTCCTGTCTGTTCTCCACTCCTGCTGTCTCTGCCCTTCTCCTCTCCTCTCCACGGCCATCATTTCAGTTCTATCCCTTATTATCTGCCACCTGGGCTTTCTGAATGGTTTCCTTGTCTCCATGCCTCTCCTTACCAACCTGTTCTGCACATAATACCAAGTGACTCTTCCTCAAGCAGAGCCTAGCTGTGTCACTCTCCAGTCCGTAAAGCCATTGAGGGTCCTCCTTGCTTTCCAAGGGTCAGAATCCTCATCTGGCTTTCAACGTCCTCCACATTCAGCAACGAGCACCCCTAACCCCAGTCACAGGTGTCTGCTCACCCTTTCTGGGACACTTTAATTCTTTCCTTTCTGTAGTCCTTCCCTCTGGTTCTGCCCAAGTGCCACCTCTACCTGTCACGTTCTTACCTGTTCCCTAGGACCCCGGCCAGCTATCTGAAGCCACACACAGCCCCCTCCCCCACCAGCCAGGAGGCTCTCTTCCTCATCTCGGCTTCCAGAGCCCAGTGTAGGACTGCGCTTATTTCACAGAACACATTTTCCGTGTACTTTTGTGAGGTATTGTATACTTGTGTTATCTCTCCTTCTAGATGAAAAATTCCTCCAGGGGTTAGAGAATGTTTGGCCCTCCACACAGCTCCAGCAGTGCGTCTGCACGTGATCCGAGTGTGCTGAGCGGGTGTGCAGGCCTTTTTGCCTGCCTCTCCTCTGATCCCACTTGGCAGCTCCCCTGGCCCCCTCCGAGGGCAGAGAGGAGAGTCTGCGTGTTGGAAAAAGTCGATGGTGAGAAGCAAGTTTCCCTTTCCAGGGCTCGGGGCTGTCAGCGCCCCGTGCCTTTGGCTTTGGTTGCCTGGGAGTGGGTGTGTTTGGGTGGGTGTGTGTTTGTTTCTGTGAGCATGTATTTCTGGCCTGTGTGTGGCAGATGTGAGGATGTGTGTGTGTGTGAGTAGGGTGGATGTGGTGTGGAGGATATGTGAATGTGAGGTTTTTAGATGTGTGTGTGGGGTGTGTTGGGGTGTGCATGAATGTGTGTGTGCAGTGGGGGAGGGAGGCACGTGCGTGTGTGGGGTGTTGATGTGTACGTAAGGTGTAGGTGAGAGTAATATGGGTGTGTGTGGGTGTGTAGGGAGAGTGCAAAAAATGTGTATGTGTGTGGGCAATGGGAGAGGTAGGTGGATATCTAGGGTGTGTGTGAGTGTGCATGTGCTTATGAGGTATACACGAGGGGGATGTGTGTGGGTGGAAGAGTGTTGCTATATGTGTATGGTGTGTGTGGGGGGTGGGGGAGCGTAGACTTATACCCTCTTGTAAAAGGACAAAAGTCCTCACCTGACTTTCCCCGGGGACTTATCTCTGTCGACAAGAAATGCCAAGCAAGTGGAGCGTGGAACAAACAAAGCGTCGGAAAATACAATGACCGAGTGATAAAATCAAAAGGCAGGATGTCTTGCTTGGTGCACGGTTGGGCTGTAAAAACAAGCCGCTCATGCTGAAACTCCTGGGACCCTCTGAGGTTTAGTGGCCACGTGGTCCCCAGAAAACCGTCCCAGGTCTGTCCCAGACCTCACGCCAGGGATGTGACCTGCTTCTCTCTGGGGAGGGGTGGGTTGGGCGTGTCCTAGCAGACTCATCTTGCTGAGACTCTGAAGGATCAGCTCGGGACGGCAGCAGCAGTCTGTGAGTTCAGCGAGCCCAGTCTCCTTTTACTCCCCTCTGAGCGTCAGGGACTGGCAGAGCCAGTTACACACTGCCCGTAAATCAGGAATATGGTCAGAGATTACGCCCTGGCCAAAGGTTGTAGAATGGAAAGGGTTGAGCCTAGTCGTCTTCAGCAATATCTTTTAGCATCAGGACTTGTGTTCACAGAAGCCTTATGTGAAAGCTCAGTAGATAAAACCACTGAGAATGCAGTGCTCTGGGTGCGGGTGTGTATTGTGGGGCGGGTGGGGCGCTGGATTCCTGCCTGCTGGCTCTCCCTCCACCCGAGCCCCCACAGGCCTTTGCAGAGCACAGTTTGAAACCTCTCCTGGAGACCACATCTCCTACTCTAAAGGGAAGGAAAAGGACTTGCTCATGGTCATCCAGGGGGTGGGCGGCAGCCCCTCTGAGTGAGCAGTGCCCCCCGCCCCTGCCCCAGCAGCAGATCCAAGCCCACATTACACCATCACTCTCTGTCAGCCTCGGACATTGCAGGGGATGGAGGGACCAAGGGAGGCTAGGTGAGAGGGCCGGCCGGCTTTGAGGGTCCTGTGGAACACGGTGTTTGGGGACTGAGAAGGTGAAAGTGGTATTTGTGTGACTATATTCAGTGAGAATACACAGATATCATAACTTTTAGGCTAGCTTTGAGCCTGGACAAAAGTCTGGCAGGCTGGGCAG